GAAAGGGGGAAAAAAAGGAAAGAGAAAGAGAAAGTAAAAGAGGAGAAAGGGAAGGGGAAAAGGTAAAAGGAGGGAAAAGGAAAAAAAAAAAGGAGTAAGGGGGGGAAATAAAAAAGGGGGTAAAAGGAGAAAAAAAGAAAAAGGGGGGTAAAGGAAGAAAATGAGAAGAAGAAGGGGGGTAAAAGGAGAGAAAAAAAGGGAGGAAAGGGGGTAAAAGGAAAGAAAAAAGGAGGGAAAAGGTAGTAAAAGGGGAAAAGGGGGGAGGAAGGGAGGAAAAAGAGGGTAAAAGGGAAAAGGAGGGGAAAGAAGGTAAAGGGAAAAAAAAAGAAAAGAGAGGGTGAAAGGGGAAAAGGGGAAAAAAAGGAGAAAAAAAAAGAGGAAGGGAAAGGAAGGGTAAAGAGAGAGGAAAAGGGAAGGAAAGTGGGAGGAAAGGAATTATGCAGGAAAAAGGCCAGAGGAAGAAGCCAAAATATATCGCTAGCAATTTGATTAAACATTTTTCAGCACTTACTGCTAGAGAAGGTCCAGGCAGTCCCAGTGCCATTTCCCCACGTAGCTATTTGGCGCTGCCAAGACAGCCACGTCTGTGCGCCCTGGGAATTTTAGTGAAGAAAATGAAGACCAGGTGCCCTGGTCTCCAGTGGATGCTGATAATTTGTTTGTTCTGCAAACAGTCATTTGTACGTGACAGGGAATCATGCCTATCATCAGTATCCATCATTTCGATCAACTCGTTTCAAGATTGTGCACACCTTGGAATTCCTGGGAGATGCCTCCTCTGGATGCTCTGGTTTACAAAAAGATCATGGCGCTTGCCTTAATGCTATACCGTTAATGCTTAATGCTATACAAAGCGTTAAAATGCCTGCCCAGGAGATGAAAGAATGACACCTGAGCCCCCGTTTTACCTGCAGTGTCAAGCAAAACGATGACTTCTGCATCTCAGGAGGACTTGTTGAATCATTAAGCAAAAGCTATCTCAGCTGTTTTGGACCAGCTTGCACAATCATACACTGTATATATAACAGAGCAAAAATAAACTTGGAACGGTTGTGATGGCCACTGAACATATTTTTGCCTCATGCAGTTTCTGCTAATGCAGTACTCAGTAAACTCTTTGAAGGCACAATCAGTTCCTTAGTAGCAATTTGGATGTATTTTGAAGATCACTGTCTTAGGTCACAACCAAAAAATATGGTATCTGCTGATCTAAAGACGGCCGCATGTTAAGAGGTTCAGTAAAAGTCTTGTTTAGTTAGGAAGAGATTTCAAGCAAGAAACATGAGTAAATCATTGTTTTAACATACTCCTAGCCAGCTCCTGGCTTCACCTACCAGTGCAGTTCTCTGCATGTTAGTGGCTACTTAGAGTGAATACTCTGCTGTTCTGGTGCCTGCACCGTCACCATCAGACAATTTTTCCAGAATTGTTTCATATAATAGTCTATATAGAGAGAGGTTAGTCTTACATGGAGAGAGGTTAGTCTGTAATAGACAATTATGGAGAGACCTCCCCTTCCAGGAAAGAAGGCAGCAGTATTTACAGGAGGCCTCTTCCGTGTCCAGGCAGCTCAGACGTTGGCCCAGTTCTAGGAGGACAGACTAGGCGGCACTCAAGCTGAACGCTCAAGACTCGCCCTTTACAGTATGTGGGGAAGAATGACTTCTAGTCAAGGTCTGACTGGATCTTAGCATGATAACTCTGGGTAAGGGGCAAGGGACATGGCATCTGGCCAAGGTAGATGTTGGTATATCATTTTTGGATTAACCAGAGGGCCCTGCTGAAGCAAGAGGATCCTTCCAGGTAAAATTACCATATCTGTGCCTTTTTTCATGAGTTGGTATGGGTAATGGTTTACTTCAGGCTGAATTTAGTCCTCCGGGTCTCTAAGTAAGCACCTACAGAGATCTTTAAAAGTGTCCAGCACTCACCAGCCTTCATTGTCTCTAACACTTGCCAATTCACAAAAAAAAATGGGCTCCTGTTTAAATAAAGAAGTTATGGTTCTGGCTTCTCACATCCATTTAAAACATTGAAAAAAGGAGGGAAAAAAGGTGAAAACTGCAAAGATTGGAACTGAACTTAGACTTGCACGCCCAAACTGCAATAGAGTAGTAGGACATGTCTAGTAAGCCACCAGAAATATCAAGATTCCTCTTTATGTTCATCTGGTCAAGGAATCTTGGCACTACTGTAATAATACTTAGTGAATGGTATTTCTAGATCTTCTTCTGTGTAATTTAGGCAAATTTTATCTCTTGCTAAAAAAAAAGAAAAAAAAGAAAAAGAAAGAAAGAAAGAAAGAAAGAAAGAAAGAAAGAAAGAAAGAAAGAAAGAAAGAAAGAAAGATTTTTTTAGAAAGAAAGAAAGAAAGAAAGAAAGAAAGAAAGAAAGAAAGAAAGAAAGAAAGAAAGAAAGAAAGAAAGAAAGAAAGAAAGAAAGAAAGAAAGAGAGAGAAAGAAGGAAAGAAAGAAGGAAAGAAGGAAAGAAGGATAGAAAGAAAGAAAGAAAATTTCCATATCGTTCTGTTCTAGCAGACACTCCTTGTCTTCAAGGACACCTTCAGTGATAGCTTACGAAGAAATTGCACAGTAAAGCAAGAGAAAGCCTAGGATGGTTTGATAAAACATCTATCAGATAATAGAAAGAATTATGTGTATGGGAGATTTGCAGCATAATTGCACATATCTTATGCTCCAGCAGTTACCTTCCTGCTTGCAGTTAACTTGTGCAATAGCATCCTGTAGTGATAGTAAAATACATCACGCAAGAATCCGACCCTGGAGGCATTGAACAGTTTCCACTAAAGAAAGAAAACTTGTTCTTCTGAAATGCAAGATTTGATGTCACTAAATTTTTGATGCAATTCTGCCAGTTCAGAAACACAGCATGTACCAGCTTGCTTTGGATAGTACTTCCCTAACATCTCACAAACTCAACAACCTGTTCCTAAAATCTGCCTCCCCTTGAAACACTCCCCTGTGGAAATCAGCAGAAGGGCTTATGCCACAGATACCTGCCTCTCACTGGAATGTCTATTTCTTGTGTGGGTGTGTGTTGCTGATGTGAATTAAATAAAGACTGCAAGCGCAAGTTTTTTTCTCTTTTTGGTTATTCCTGAATGACAGAAGCAAGATGCTCACTGACATCTCTTCCAGTGAAATGGAGGGACATTTGGATGAACTGAATCAAACTGCTTAAGTTCTTCACATGTTTTAGGAGTTTGCATTTGTAAACTGTCAAGATATATGGAGCATACAGCCACACCTTCTGTTTGCCCAATTACCTCAGTTTAAGAGCTCAAGGTGAAAAGAACAGCATGCCTTATTGCCTGCATTTATTATCTTAAAACAAAGATAACAGATATTCGAAGCTTGATAATGTTTCATGAGATGACAGCAATTCAGATTGTGTTTGATCATTTTGGTGAAGCAGCAGTTGGCTTAGCTCAAGGGCTCTGGTGATTCCTTCTCAAGCATCCAAAGCTGCTCCTCGCTGGCCTGCCAGTAAGTGCTCTGCAGCCAACTTGGGCCCACTGTCAGGTGTTCTCCGTCAGGAAGTGCTGGGATTGCCAGGATTGCTGGCATCTGGAGCACCTGCTGTTTTTTTGCTGTGGAATCGAGCTGCTAGCCTCCTAAACAATCCTGCTATTTGCTGTTTATAGCATACGATAAAGGTAACTACGAGGATACTGAGAACAACAACGCCAAGTACTGCTATTCCGATTTTTGCTCTAAGAAAAATCTGCCTGGCTGGAGGGGGTCCGCTGTCAATGCTACCCCCAAGCCCCTCCAGCTCGCAGTATGGGGGAGCCCAGCCGTACTTGCAGTGACAGTTCTTACGATTGTTGCACACACCTCTGTTGTGGCACTTGGTCACGTTACAGTCGTAGTTCAGCACTGTCACATTGGTACATGTCCTGTTGATGCAGAGCATATCATTACCGCATGGCGTGCCATCAGCCACGGCCCCCACGTCACCTGTAGGCATCCCTACATGATAGTCTATACCCCAGCACTTCTTATCTCCAAAAGGGGTTTGGATTATGGTTATGTGGTTGCGCAAATACGGCAATTTGTGTATGTTTTCACACTGGACCCTACCACATCGGGCATCCTCAGTTTTGCATTTTATGTAATGAGTATTTCTTTGAATACCACAATTTCCAAAACGGTCACCTCGAGTATTCAGCATTCTGAAGCAAGATGGAGGAGCAGCCCTGGCTCTTCTGCCAAAGAGATGCCTGCATTGTTTGCTGTGGGAAGAACATTTCCCTCGATAGCAATAGGCCCCATCCTTGCATGGGGCTCCATCTTGCACATACACGTCTGGCTGGCACCTGGGAGAGCTCCCGTTGCAATACTCAGGCAGGTCGCAGTCGCCAATCTTCGTTCTGCAGAGAGTTCCTGCTGGAAGGAACTGACAGCCCCTGCAGCATTCTCCAGATGCACAAACTGAACCTCGAGTGAGTGTGCAGTTAGGGTGACAACAACGGTCTCGTCTGCAGTTTAATTCTGAGCCACAGTCACACTGCTCTCCTTCTTCTACTATCTCATTCCCACAATATTTATGCTGCAGGGTGTAGAAAGTGCCAGGTGCTGGTGGTCGACGCAAGCAGGCTCCACCAGTTGCAAGCAAGTCAAAGAAGTACCTGTAACTGCAGTCACTGAAGGAATCGGTGCCAGCTGCAGTTTCATGCATAATGCATTTCTTTAGTCTACATTTACAGCTTCGATCATCATGTTGCATCCCAAGAAGATGGCCCAGCTCATGGGTAAATGTGAGAACAAATCCAGATAGTTTCTTCCTAAGGAAGGACTCAACTCCTGATGACCAGTGATCATCACATATACCCGCCAGATATGCCATTCCCAAGCTCTTTGCAAAGTTCTGAGATGCAAATAAGTGAGCACTATCATGGCGCATCCGGTGAGTCAGATTGGCCTTTCTCCATTTGTTGAAGTCTGCAAGTGTCTTGCTTACAGAGCTAGAAATATTTATAAGATTATTTTTGGTCCAGATCTCTAGCCCTGTAAGATACAGCTGGACAGAAAGCTGATCATAGAGAGAGTCCGCAGCATTGATGATGTTCATGACTACCCTGAAGACTTCAGATTCGTTCTCACCTAACTTCAGAAAACACCCGTGGTCCGCGACCACCACAAGCTTCGCATACCTGATGTGCGTCCACCAGCCCTTCAGTGAGTCCTCCTCCTCCTCCTGCACCCGCGCAGCCCGGAGCCAAGGCAACAAGGTCTTCTGGTGCTGCAGCTCCTCCTGAGTGAGGCCGCAGGTGGGGGCTGTAGGGTCAGCGGCCTCCTCCATGCGGTAGAGGACGTGCCGGAAGGCTGGATCATCAGGGACGGGCTCGATCTCGTAGGTGCTGCCCTCTACCCACAGCACCCCTTGGAGGCCCCCCCAGCAGGTGCTGAGGGCCACCAGGGAGCCAGGGCTGCCCTGCACCTCGCCCTGGTAGAAGCAGTCCTTTGGCACGAAGGGCTGGTCGTCCCAGCGCGTCCCATCCTCCCCATAGGTGACCAAGGTGAAGGACGGAGACACCAGCCCCCTGTGGGGCCGCAGGTGCAGCACTCGCACCCGCCCCTCCATCTCCAGGCGGTAGGAGAGGGCCAGGGGGT